AAACCAAAATTCTTGTTCAAATGCTCAAAATATTGAAGAAGATGGGTGAAGAATATAATAGATAACAATGTTTTAGGGTAGCAAGTACAGGGAGAGGTGGAGAGCACGTTGATACGATTGGATATGAATTGGGGAATTTGATTGGATTGAAAGGGTGTTTGGGTCTTTTCCATGATAGGGATATTTTAGGTATTTGATAATGTTTATTTATTGTATTTGATAATTGAGGCCATTTCACCAACAAATATTGAGAAAAAGTTATTTATTCAACTGCAGTTTTTGACTAAGTCTTTTAACAAACTTTCCCTAGGTTAAAGTAGAGGAAATGGTTGAGAATTTTTAAAATTTTTTATTTTTTCACTGGAGATCTTGTATATAAGCCATCGTTTGAGTACTGTTTTTTCCATGAAATTGCATTTTTGATCCGTGATTTGACTCTATTTTAACCATACATTTTTCAATAAAATAATATTACACGCAAATTCAAATTTTTTTCTTATTTTTTAACAACACATTTTCGTTATAACACTATTAAAAAATGCTCTTTTTTGAGTAAATAAATAAATAAATAAGGCTCAAACAACCCCAAAGACCGCAATGCTTAGAAATTGTGGATTCCAGTTTAATTTATAGGGTGATTATATTTTAACCATAATTTTTTTTATAAATACACCACATTTTAGTATCAACCTTTATTAATTATTACATTTATATCCTTAACTTTTTTCGTCGTCATATTCTTATTTTTAACATTTCATTGATTAGAAAATCTTGTTTTTAATCATGATTTTCGTCCGAAAATATTGTAACGTGCTTTATAATGAATACCATGTTTTTAAAATATGGTGTAACAAATAAAAATATTATATAAAATATTTATAGAATAAAGCTAAGTGTGCAACCATGATTGACAACATTGGTTGACAATCATATGTATTCAAATCCAACCTTTTGATATAGAAAACAATTTTTTTAATTGGATGAATATCACAATATCAAATAAGAGGTTGTCAACCAATAT